CTCCCCTCGCGGGCATCCCGCGTGTGCGCGGGGCGCCGGGGCCGGGGCTGCGGCCGCAATCGGGTGCGTTGCCCCTTTAACTGTGTCCCCAGCCCTCGGGCGTCCGTGTCCAACGCCCACGTCAGCAAATACCTTTTGTTTCTCTCCCCGGCTGGGGCTGGCGGGGCGCGGGGGCTGCGGGGAGCGGCGCGGCGCCTGCAGGCACGGCGAGCCCCGAGGCGGGGCCGGGGACCCCGCACGCACCGCCCGCCCGGCCCGGCTCGGCGGCAGCGCCCGCAGCACCGCCCGCCCAGCGGCCCCGCAGCCCCGGGAAGGAGCGGGGCTGCGGGGCGGGGAGCGGCGGCAGCTCCGCCCGGAGCCGCTCGGTGCCCGCCGGGCGCCATTTGCAGCCCCGGGCGCGGCAACAAAGGGGCTGCGCGGGGCGGGCGGAGAGAGCGGGCGGCGGGTGCGGGACCGGGGGGGTGCGGGACCGGGGGGGTGCGGGCGGAGGGAGCGGGAGCACCGGGCATCGCGCGGCGGCGTGGCGGGGGCACCGAGGGAAGGGCAGCCCGCCGAGGGAGGCTGCGGGCGGCTCGCCCGGCCCGGGGCGGTCCGTGCCGGGGATGGGGATGGGGATGGGGATGGGGATGGGGATGGGGATGGGGATGGGGATGGGGATGGGGATGGGGATGGGAGCGATCGGGCGGGCGGCTCCGGCGCCGCCGAGCATCGCGGGGAACACAGGGACCGGCTCCGAGAGCGGCCCCCGGTGCGCTGGGCAGGGGCTGCGCCCGCCGCGCACCCGCGTCAGCCGCGCCTCTGCCCGCGGCGGGAGGGCCGAGCGCTGCCTCTCGCTCTGAGAACCATTAACGTCTCGGTGGATGCGATCCGCGTTCTTTTGGGATGCTAAGGGATCCCCGCCGGCGCGTCTTTCCGCTTCTTCTGGAGTTGATAAGTTTCTTCTCTCGTGTTTACTGTAGCAGCCGGAGGGGCTTGGGAGATGCCTCGGGAATGTGATAACGCTTTTTGAATTGGAACTCGTCTCTTTAGATTAGGGTTCAGCAGTGTTGATGCAGATTGTCACGGTGACGTTTTTTCTTTTCCTTTACAGCAAACCCTCCTCTGACTCCCTGCCTGGGATGGAGATTTCTTCCCACCAGTCTCACCTCCTGGAGCAGCTGAACGAGCAGCGGAAGCAGGACTTGTTCTGCGACTGCAACATCCTGGTGGAGGGGAAGGTCTTCAAAGCCCATCGCAATGTGCTGTTTGCCAGCAGCGGCTACTTCAAGATGCTCCTTTCACAGAGCTCGAAGGAGACGAGTCAGCCAACAATAGCCACGTTTGAGGTCTTCTCTCCAGAGACGTTCATGGTTATCCTGGACTTTGTGTATTCGGGGATATTGTCTTTAACCGGTCAGAACGTGATCGAGGTGATGTCAGCTGCCAGCTACCTGCAGATGACAGATATTCTCAATGTCTGCAAGACCTTCATCAAGTCCTCCCTGGATATCAATGAGAAGGAGAAGGATCATTACCTCAGCCTCTCGGCCAAAAGCGCGAGCGCCGAGCCTGCCCGTCCCACCCTGTACCGCTCCAGGAGGAAAGCGAAGAGCAACCCCCGGCGTTCCTACTCCGTCCCGGACGAAAAGCCCAGCGCCAACGAGAACTCCTGGAGCGGCTACAGCAGCCTTCTGTCCTCGCAGGGGATCCTGCAGCGGGCGGAGACCCAGCTGTCCAAAAGGGGCAGAAAGCAGGGCTCGGGCAGGAAGCGCCGCAAGCACCTGGGCCTGTGCCAGGGCCGGGATTTGGGACAGTGCAAAGCGGAGCGGGCGGGTGCCTCGGACTGCAGCCCCCTGTCCAGGGTCGGGGAGGAGGCCGAGTTTGATGCGGAGAACGACGTGGATCGGGATGAGTTCGGGTGCCATCGCGGCTCGGAGGCGGCACCCAAGAGGTGGTCCGTTAATCAGCTGGAGCAAGAACTTTCCAGAACTCCCGAGTTCATGGAGCTAAAGGCAGAAGAACTGTACACCTCGATGCCCACGATTTTAGGCGTAATGAGTAGTTGGAACGAAGGTAAAAAAGAGAGGAGCTGGTTTGGAAAAGTTTGGCTTTATCTGGGAGAATTCGGGTGATGTTTTGGAGGGAATTTGTGTGGGTGCATGGAAAGCAAAAGTAGTGCCTAGACTTGGACGTGGATTTATCTACTCAGGAATGAGTTTGCAGCCAGAGTGGGGCACGGGAAGTGGGATGGGAGAGCATTACCCTGGTGTTCTGGTAAAGGTAAAACAAAACATGCCTGATTATTCGGGCCCAAGTGGAATTTAATGAAGCCTCAAGAGCTGTGATCGACCTGGGGACACGAAGGACTGAATTTCCCTTTGTGGATCCCCAAACCTGGCACTAATCCAACCTCAATCCAACCCAATTCCTTCACAGGGCATTGCTGGGATGTTGCATTTCCCTTGGGGTCCCAACCAGCCCAAACTTTGTGGCTGTTTGGCCACAAACAAATAAAGCATCCGAGCTCCTGATGGACTTGTCAGCACCTGGTGGAATCAAGCTGACAGGTCTATTCTCATGTGCATTCTTTTGGAAATCAACATATTATGCATAATGTAGTGGCATATTCTGAAGACTTGAGGCATCCTCATATATTAAACAGAGATTATAAAAGTCAAAGCTATGAACCGTTAGCTGATGGAAGAGCTCATGGTTCAGATAGTATAAATATATATAATAGCTACATATTTATGATCATCTGTATGTCTAAAAAATACCCCCAGTAAGGAAAAAAAACACTTTAAAATGGCCATTTAACATGTTCAGTGAGAAGTACGGGCTTTGGGGGGGGAAAGATATATTTTACATATTAAATATATTCCATATATTTAATGTATTTTATATATTTCATATATTTTATAGACAAAATATGTTTTATAGACAAAATGCTTTATAGATGAAATAAATGTTATAGACAAAATATATTCTATAGATGAAACACATTTTATAGGTGAAATGCATTTTATAGATGAAATTCATTTTATGTGTGTGTTTATACCTCCAAAGCCCGTATTTTACGTATTTGTAGATTGTATTTCATATATTATATATTCTATATATTATATGTATATTATATATATATTCTATTCTATAATATATATTCTATTATATAATTTACATATTGCTCTATATAATATAATGTCACAGGATATTCTGGGTGGGAAGGGACCCACAAGATGGCCTGTGTGGGGTGGGGGATTGAACCCACAAACTTGGCACTGTTAGCACCGTGTTCCAACACGACCCCGACAACACACCTTACATTTATATAAAACATTTTGGGGGTTCTTCCTCCTCGCTGACGGAGCAGAGGTGGCAGGAACTGCCCCTCTCCGAGCTGACAGCCCCCCCATTGTCCCCTCGGCAGGTGACCTGCCCCGCATGCGGTTCAAGTGCCCGTTCTGCACCCACACCGTGAAGCGCCGCGCGGACCTGAAGCGGCACCTGCGGTGCCACACCGGGGAGCGGCCGTACCCCTGCGAGGCCTGCGGGAAGAGGTTCACCCGCCTGGAGCACCTGCGCAACCACTTCCAAACGGTACGGCCCTGCCCGCTGGGATAACATCCCGGGAAATGCACCGTGGGGGGGGCTCTGCTGGTCCGAGCCGTGCGGGCGTTTCCAGCACTTAGCGCCCCAAACGCTTCCTCCGTCGTTATTTATCTTGATGGGCCGTATTTAAAAATCTCAGGGTTTTAAAAAATAATAATAATAATAATAACAAATGTCCTTTTTTTTTTCGGATCCCCCCCCCCTCCCTCCAGATCCACCAGGCGGGCAAGCTGATCTGCAGGAAATGCAAGCGCCAGGTGACGGAGCTGACGGGCTGCGTGGTGCAGCAGGGCACGCGGCGCTACAGGCTGTGCCACAAGTGCCTGGCAGAGGCCAGTCTCGACGGCACCCCCGAGGATTTGGATGCAGAACATTCCCCCGTGTCCTCCGCGGGGAGCAAACGCCCCAAGTGGGCTCTGGAGGAGGGGCAGAAATCAGACGAGGAGCCGGCGGAGGAGGAGCCCTATAATTTAGTTGTCCGACACACTAACGATGACGTTCCAGATGAGGTAGAGGAAAAGGTGAAACCAAATCTTAGGTAGATATTTGTGCACTTGTTACTTGTTGTATTCGAGGTTAAATTACTCGTGTCCTACCGACTAAATGCTGGCTCGCTACTTGAATTGAAGTATTGCTAAAATTCTAATTTTTGAGGAGCGAAATTTGGACTAAAACGAGTTGTTTTGTGCTTGCAGACATGGAACAGTGTAACTGCTTCTAAATGTCGTCCAGAAAGCACTGAGAATCATAAGATCTCCTGAGCTGGAAGGGACCCACAAGGATCATCAAAGTTCATTTCCTCACTTATTATCTGGAAACTATTTAGGAGAATTGGCTTATGTTTCATCAGAGACTCGCTCAGAGCTGCTGCTCACAATGGAAGTTGAACCAGCTCACAGTCCTGCAAAGGTTCTGTACGACAGAGACTTTTTAAAAAGCAGAGGTTGCAAACTTGCTCTGAGAAGGTCTGACTGAAGTGAGCAGCTAAGAAACATCAAAACAGCTTCTTTTTCGCTTTTTGGCATTGTAATGAACTTGTACATAACACATCGAAAACTTCCTAAGAGAGGAGCAAAGGAAACAAGCGGAATTCTTCCTGCTGAAGGACCTATTGACCAGAACTTTGGGGGTTTTTTTAATTTTTTTAATTTTTTTTGAGTGAACTTAACTGCTTCTTAGAGTTGAGAAAAGCATGATTACAGAATTCCCACAGCCAGAGTAGAGTAGTGAGCAGAGCATTTGTAGTGCACTTGGGTAGTTTGACTTTGCCTCTTTTGTACTGTGAATTTTATAGCAAGATATACCAAGGTGGTTCCAAGGAAATAAAAGTGCAATCACTGGAAGTACACTTGTCAGGTTTTTTCCTTTTTGTTTTTCCAGGACTGGTGCAAGATTTCCCTAAACTGCTGTTCTGTCTTATCCTAGGAATAAAGATGCCAGGTCTCTTTAATTTCTTAGATCATGGAGCTACTTCAAGAAAGGTTTTCCTGCTCATGTGAATTTATAAATTAAAATTATGGAGCAACCTTTGTAATTCTGGGGTCTCCTCAGCTGGGGTCTGCCTCTGGGGCATCTCAGCATTTGTCTCCAAAGTTAAAATTCAACTTATGTTAATTTTTTTCCTCGCTTTTTAGAGAGCTGCACAAAAGGAAGGGCTGCCCCTCACCCCACTCCCCACAGCCCCACTGATGCCCTCAGAAAAGAGTCCACTCACCCCAGCAGGGAGCAAAGTACAAGTGTCTGGATTCACTGGTCACAGATCACACACAGATCCATGGATTCTCTCAGTCCAAGTTTTATTTTGGCACGCTACAAAAATAAGAGGGTTTTTTTTATCCCTCAGTCTTTACAATATGGAAAGTCCATAATTCTTTGACATTAAAGAACTGCCTTCACTGTCCTTTTTAAAGGGTGATGCAAACCATCTGCTTTTTCAAGGAGAATCCTTTTCCACAGGAAACAGATGGGAGTGAAGCTGCAGAGAGCCTGGAGCACCCCCTTCCAACCTGGTGCATCCCCTGGCAAAGCTGCCAGCTTTTTGGGGGGATGTCAGGTGATGTGAGGATTCCAGGTACATGGTCACGTGCCTTAGGATTTCAAGGGGAAATCTATTTACAGCACCACCTACTGGCACGGGTTTTGGGTTTAAGTATTTTTAAAGGTGTGGTGGTTTGGTTTTTTTAACTGGTTTAATTTATTTTTTTTTGTGCGTGTCTTTTAAACAGCTGGAATTTTTTTCCACATTAAATCTGAGCCACTGCAGCTATTTTGGATTCGTGTAAAATGGAGGAGGGGTGTCAGCTCAGAATTAGGAGAGTGAAATCTGCAAAGGACATCACGTAGATGAACATTCCCTCCTGCCACCCTGCAAAAGGGGAGCATTTTAGTTAGGACCTTCACTAATTTCTGTATTTCATACATATGAACCAGCCTTCAAAGATGACTACCAGCATTCCTGGGAGATTTCCAACTCCTACAAATCTCTTCTTCTCAATATCCCCCACGCAGTTCTTTTAATTCTCCGTCTCACCATCCTCACCTGGAAACACTGGCTGACATTCCCTGCAATTACTCCCTTCAGTTTATGATTTTAACTGCCCAATTCCTTAGTTACTTCCACAGGGATTACAGTTTTAGGGGACTTCTGCCAGCCCGTGACAAACATCCACTCGACCACCCTTTCCTTGCTTTAAATATCGATGATGACAAAGACTTCTGGCTTCTCATCTTCACAGATCTGCATCGCCGAGTAAGTGATGGCTTTGACCTCTGTGCCCTGGAACAGAGACACAAACCCAGGGATTTTCTAAATGATGGCCTTTGTCACAGTTCCTAACACGCAGTTCTTACCACTTCCCTCAGGGTTTGCTTCTGGCAGTTCTTTAGGGGGGGAAAAAAAAGAGAAGGGAGAAGCCAAAATTGACGAAGCAAAAGGCTGTGGCAACAGTGTAAAACCCAAACCCACGTCCCCATTCTGAACACAAGTTGGTTTTCTGTGTTAGCAGCATCACAAAACCAAAGCCAACTGCTGAGTTTTGCCAGCGCTGAGGAAAAGTCAGGCTCAGGTCGACAGTTTCAGGAGCACATTCATATAAAATTCCCCCCAGCCACGTTTGTACTTGGATCTCTGGAGGACTCCGAGGTCTGATTTAAAAGACACCTCTCCCCCTCCTAAAGGGAAACGATGGAAGAGGAATCATTGCATACCTGTGGGTGTTTGCCTAAAGAGAACTCTTCTCCCCACCTTTGAAAGCAAAAAGAAAGGAGGTTGGAACTTTGGCAGCGTTTACCAAATGTTGTAATTAGTTTCACTGATGAGTAAAGAACAGTGAGATTTTCACTTAAAGCCTCAAAGGAAACAAATAAAATTAAAAAAAAAAAAAAAAAGGCCCACCATCCACCTTGTAGATGATGGTTTAGGCTCACCCAATGGATCTTATTTTGAACTGCATTCGGTCGATGTGAAGCACTTTCACCTCCTGCAGGAAAAGGGAGGGGAGAAATATTTCAGTCACACCTTCCACCACAGCCTGGACTTGTATTTGTCATGTTCCTCTTTTCCCCCCCAAAAAACACCATTTCTTTCAGAGCTGGTATTGCCAGGGAACAGCCTTGTCCTGCAGATGGAAAAGGATCAAACCAGGACACTTACCCTGGGTACAAAGAACTCATTAGCACTGAATTTATACAGCCACTCATCCAGGAGGTGGAAGAGGAGAGACAACATGTCGTGTCCTGTGTGGTTGAAGCAGAGAAGTCAGTTATTTTCTCAGCAGGAACATCCAAATATTTTTTAACAGGACATCAGATGCTCAGTCTATTGGAAGACTCAGATTAGCGATGTTTAATTAGATTCAGACTTTTGGTACCATTTCCCCCTCAGGTTTCATAACTCTCCCCCATGAAAAGTCGAGACAGGCTGTCATAGTTCTGATTTTAGCAAGAAATTTTGTCTTTCCTTTCCCCTTCCCCCTCCTGCGTGTATGTTGTTAATGGGCCATCAGATAAACAAGGAGTTGGCCTGAGCCCTAAATGACCAGACATTAATCTCCTAGCAACGAAGGGGGAGGAATTGGGAAAAAGGCCAGGGTGTGTGTATGGAAAGAGGTGGGGTTTGGGGGTTGGAGCTCAGCTCTGGAGCCGGAGGGGAGGCTGCAGCGAGCAGGAGAGACTGCCTGGTTGCTTCTTTGTCTTTTCCTGTGGGAGAGGAGTTTTTTGCTGCTGTCTCTCTGCGCAGCTGTTTGCTGGTTGCAGGCTTGGTTTTCACCGCGAGATCTTCACCAACTGAGTCGTGAGTTTTTCTTCCATTGGGAGAACTTTCTGGTTTCCCTCCCCCTTCCCCCCCTCCTCCATCGCCACCCGGCGGAGACCAGGGATCCCACAGCGCCGCCCGGTGACGGGGGCTGGACATTGCAAGTTCCACTCCTCCAGTGATCCAACAGCGCCCCCTGGTGACTGCTATAGAACATTACAAGTTCTGCACTTTTTGATAACCCAACAGCGCCCCCTGGTGAACGGTATAAGACATTACAAGTTTTGCATCTCCAGTGACCCGACGGCGCCCCTGCTGACCGTGGCTGGAACTGCACCAAAGGGCGCTAAAAATTGAACTATTTGATCTTCTTTTTGCCGGTTTTATCGGTTTTGTTCTTGAAGGGGATTATTGGTGGGTATAGGGGTATTGCTTGGTTGTTTTACTTGGTTTTTTTTTCGTGTTCCTGTTAATACACACATACCTTTTAATAAAGGGCTGTTATTTTTTTTTCCCTTTTCCATAATTTGTTTTCCTTCAATCGGAGCCTCTTAATTTCGAATTTATAATTGCTAGAAAAGGAAGTTTGGGTCTTTTTCTCCTAATCCATCCTCAGCAAAAGACCTTTGTCTCATTTAAACTGGGACACAAGGCTCACCTTCTGCCTCCACCTCAACGGTATCCACGGGTTCCACGGTCTCCGTGTCGGTCATGTAGCCAAACATGGCCATGACACACTGCTCAAAAGCCTCCTCCAAGGTGTCTCCCCAGGCATGGAGCCTGCAAGGAACAGGGGACAACTCACTGCGCTGTGACAAAGAGAATTAACCCCAGAGCAACATGCAGGTGAGCAAGCAGGGCAGTGAGAGCGGGAGAATTGATGCAGAGGAGCTGAGTGAACAAAAAAAAAAAAAAAAATACACCCCCAACTTCATTTCCAGAAAGAGAGGGGTTTGTGAGAAGAGCTTCTGAGAATATGGAAAATGAATGTTTTAGAGCCACCAAGGAAATTCCACCTTGATGGGGCTCACTGATGTCTGCAAAAGCGAACTGGGCAGAAGAAATTTGGTTTAAAAGGGGTGAAAAGGAGACTTCAAAGGACATTTCCAAGTGACGCAGAGGCTTGGTGAGAAGCACCGCAGGAATATCAGAAAAGAAACCAAACATGATTCTGTGTTCTCCCAAAAGCAGAAGCAAAATTTACCACCAGAACACCCACTGAGTGACATTTCAGAGCCCCACAGGGTGTGTTACATCTGCAACCAGTCCTTGAGAGTTACTCCAGACTTAGAGAGTGTAAGAAACAGTGAGTTTATCACAGGGAGGTGTCCCAGCTGCCCACACTTACTGCACATCTGCTGTGTGATCCAGATCTGAGGGGAAGCAAAAAGAGAAGCCATGATGCCACCAAAATTCCTTAAAAAAATAGGGATTATAAAGCACATAACAGCGATATCTGATTTTCTAACAAGAACTTTTTGCACTCATCCTCAGACACGATAAATCTGCTCTGCAGTGCGCTAGAAAATGTGATTTTAATTGATTGTGTGAGTGCCCTCTGTGTGCAGGGTTTGGCTTTTGTGACCCAACAAGGCTTCTAAGAGTTAATGGCAATAAAAAGGAAACTTTAACCAGGACTAAAGAGTTCATGCTGAAGTGTGCAAGTCTGAAAATTATTCATGCAGAGGGTGAGACTTGCAAATATTTCCAGCTCAGTGAGGAAATACACCTGTCCACACCCAAAAAACGCCCATCAGGCAAAGAGAAGAATTTAAAGTTTGCAGCATAAAACAGAAAGAAAACTTTACTAAAAAAGCCTGATTAACTTGTTAACGAGTTTTACATGAACAATATTTATATTTACTCAGAGGAATGAGAGAAATATGTCACAGTATCCCTGCTGTCAAATAAAGACCTGAGTGCCTCCTAAAAATGTAAATTCTAACAGAGGAACAGGCACAGCCCCTCAAGACAGACATGGAAAACACACAGGGAATGGTCTCCTGCCTGAAGTTGGCCCTTGGGCTGCCACCTACTCACCTGACATCCTCTCAGAAGACATTCCAGGGGTGGGGAAAGGAGAGATAATGATCTTTGAGTAGAGCATGTAATTTATTTTTACCATGACTCTTCTTAGCACTCCAAGCAAGAAAAGCATTTGGATGTGATAAAGAAAATTGGAGAGCTCTCTCTCTCGATATATATATCTCCTGCTATTTCCTGTGCCCTCATGATTGCAGTGCCACACACATGCTGGATCAGGAAGTTATTATTTTAAAAATATAGAACCATTTTAAAAATATATAAAATGTGTTTAATAGGTAAAATATATAAACATATGATATATAAAATATATAAAATGTGTAATAAACTTATGAAACATAAAATGCATAAAATATATCATAAAACATATAGAACGAGCAGAAAAATTTTATCCGTATAAATACTCACATTCGTATTTCTTACAGAGTGGGGGGTATTTGGCCTTGACAGCCTTCTGCTCCTCTGTCAGGTTGTAATCCCTCTCATCCGCTGCCATGGCCGTGGGATCCAACTCTCCCTCACTTCCTGGGGGTGGGAAACACGTCCTGGAGTGACTCAACCTGCTGACGCTGTGGAGAAGAGGGAAGAATTCCCCTCGGTTCAGCCTCTCTGCCCCGAGAGCGCTTTGGGAACACTCAGCCACAGGCTCAGCTGTTCCAGACGAGTCCTAAACACACCACAAGCTCATTTCAGTTGTTTCTGCCCCAGCTGGGAGGGTGGGACAAGGTGGGAGCTCAGTCCCACAGCCCCACCAGTGTGTTCAGCCAAGGGATTACATTCCTTATGGAAATCGTGGACTTTGCAAATAATAGATTTATAAATATCCCCTTAACATCCAGGCTGCTTTTCAACAGGAGCTGGTTCTCGTTCCAAGGTTTAGAAGCAAGATGCGGCATTTCCAACTTTGATTTTTAAGTGTGTGGGAAAGAGAAGCCTGAAACTGAGGAGCCAGGGCTCCTCTGGGGGAATAAACCCAGATATTTATTCGCTATTTGATATTTGCTATGCGATTTTAAACCTGTTGGCTGTGGATGGTGAGATCCCACGTTACCCTCAGCAGCCGATCAGAAGCAGCAAATATTATGCCTGTAAAGCTCACCGCCGCACCGCATTGTGTGGTGGGGACAGGATATGAATGCCTATAGATAATTAATTATTATAGGTAACTGATAACGAGCCGAGAATACCCAAAGGAGTCAGGGGCAGCCCTGTTGGAAGGGAGGGTAGGCCGCACCTCGGCCCACACACGCACCGATCGGGTCCAATCCCGCTCCCACACGCTCTGCGGTGCCCGGAGGTAACCGCTGTCACGGTTCTTCCCACTCGTGAACGGGGATCGCGAACCGGGAGCAGACCCCAACCCCACCGGCCCCCTCAGCGCGGGGGACGCGGCCCCTTTAAGAGCGCGCACGGGGGTGGGAAAATGGCGGCTCCCGCTGAGGGCAGGGAGCCCCTCCCACGTGACCGCGGCGCGCGCTCGCTGCCCCGCCCCCGCCCCCGTCGCCGATTGGCCGCGGGGCGGCGGCGGCCGCCGCTGATTGGGCGGCGTTGGCGCGCGAAGGGGCGCGCGCGGCGCCCGGGGGAGCCGCGCGCAGCGGGGGCAGGAAACAATAGGGACGGAGCCGCCGCCGTGAGGGCTCAGAGCGCCCAGCGCAGCCGCCGCCTCGCCCGCCCCGCGCCTCAGCCCCGCGCCCCGCCATGGCGGACAAGGAAGGTAAAGGCTCCCGTGTGGGCGGCGCGGCCTCCGCCGGGAGGCGCCGGGTGTTCCCCCTCCCCTCCCCCCCCCCCCCTTCGCCGTTCCTCCTAGCGGCGTGAGGGGAGCGGGGGCGGCGCCGCCAGGGGGCGCTCGAGCCTCCCCCCCCCCCCATCCCATCATGGCCGCCGCCAACTCCCCGCGGCGTCGGCACCGGCCGGGGGGGTCCAGCGGGACCCTCCGTGCTCCCCCAGGAGCGGGGCTGTGAGGGCCCCCCGGTGGAGTGGGGCGAGCCGGGAAGGGCCGTGCCGTACGAGGGGAGCGGACAAAAGAGGTGTCGCCGGCCGCTGCCGCGCCCGCGCGGGGCCGCCCCCGTTCCGTGGGGAGAGCCCCCGGTACCGTGAGGCTGCTCCCGTTCCGTGGGACAGCCCCGTTTCGTCGGGACTGCTGCGGTTCCGCGGGTGACTCCCCCGGGTCTGCCCGCCCACCTTTTCTCCTGCAGTGGAGGTTGGTGGCAGATGGGATGAGAAAAGGGTGCGAGAGCAGCCAGGCGGCAGAAAGAGCCTTGGAAAACTGGATTTTTGGGAACTACCAGTTCCAAGGCTGCGCCCAGACTGGTCTGTTTAAAAGCAGTTGGTGGGTGCCCTGCCTTTAAACATCGTTACACGTCTGGGTTTTGCCTCCCTGGTGCCCTGTGCGCTAAGATTTAGGATTTTATTGTGCTGCTTCTGACAGCATCATCATCCTTGAATCACCACAGAATGGCTTGGGTTGGAAGGGAACTTAAACCCATCCAGTGCCACTCCCTGCCCTGGGCAGGGACACCTTCCACTAGCCCAGGTTGCTCCAAGCCCGTCCAACCTGGCCTTGGACACTTCCAGGGATGTAATTTGACACAGTTAATATTAATTTCGAGCCATATATCCAGGATAAAAGGGTTAGAATGCACAACAGGGTTTTTTTAATTATCTAATAACCAGCAGGGCATCCAACAGCAAACCAGGGCGTGATGTAGTTGGCTCTCGTCCCTTGCCTGCTCATGGTGGTGTGTGTCTGTAAATACATTCACAAAGGCTAATTAATTATATGAATTTTTTTCAAAAACCCACTTCAGCAGCCTTTGATGATGCGGTGGAGGAACGTGTGATCAACGAGGAGTATAAAATATGGAAAAAGAACACCCCCTTCTTGTATGACCTGGTGATGACCCACGCCCTGGAGTGGCCCAGCCTGACTGCTCAGTGGCTTCCTGATGTCACAAGGTACACTGATCCTTTTGTTTTCTATTTAAAGCAGAATAAATAGTAAATCCAGGATCACCTTTTGTTAAAGTCAGGCAGTGTGTGATTCCTTTCTGTCTTAGTAACCCCTGCCCTGCCAGCAGCAAGTTGAGGGCTCTCAACACCAGAGATAATCAGCGCAGACATTTTTAATATGGGAAAATATTTTCTGTTATTGAGAAGGATTTCTTCCCAATATCCCATCTAAACCTGCTCCTTTCAGCGTGAAGCCATTCCCCCTTGTCCCTCTCCATCTTTCCTGCAGGACATCTTGATCTGTAACAAGTGATTTCCTCCACAGGAAGCAGCTTTTTTTTATTGGGCCAGGAAAACAACCGTAAATCTGAAGATCCTTATTCTGTCAGAAGCTGCAATAAAAAAAAAAAAAAATAAAAAAATACTGTTGTGTGAGCCCTGCTTTGTTCCCCTTCCCTTGCAGACCTGAAGGCAAAGATTTCAGCATCCACAGGTTAGTCCTGGGCACCCACACCTCAGATGAGCAGAACCACCTGGTCATAGCGAGCGTGCAGCTGCCCAACGACGACGCCCAGTTCGATGCCTCCCACTACGACAGCGAGAAAGGGGGTAAGGGCTGCATTTCAACCACATTTTCCTGCCCTCCCCAACAGAGAGTTTGCCTTCTCTCGAAGGCCAGGGCAGCAAGGTTAACTTTTACTTCTCAGCTGAACGATTACCCCCTTAGTGGGGAGATTGATGGACAAGATGTGCCCCTTCATGGATAAACTCTTTGGGGTTTTGAATGTATGGGATGTATTAACAGTCTGATGATGAAAACAGAAGGTGGAGGGTCATTGCAAAAGTGTTTTTGTCTGTGGGAAAACTCACCCCTCCCTATTTCTCATCAGGAACTGACACTGAGTTCCATGCAGTGGTATTTTTACTGTCACTTTTGCACTACATGAACTCTTCCAGTGAGAAATCATTCATGTAAAAGAATATTCTTATTTCAGTGGGGTGTAGCATTTCAAATATTCTCCATTTCTCTGACTTCTGCTGCCTGGTAGCTGTACCAGCCCCTGTTTTGTTATATTAGTTTATTTATGTGGTGTTTTATTCAGTGTATCGGGCTGGAATTGGATGTTTCCTGTAAGTTTGTGGCTGTCAGCACTGCCACAAGTGAGACATTTCTCCTGTTTACTTGACTGAATCAGCCTTTCCACCTGGTGAAAGTCCTTAATGATCCAATGTTTGCCCTTCTTTTTACAGGAAGTCTGGATTGTGCAATGAGTATTTTGATCTTTGGGGCCTCTTAAGAGTTATTCACGAGCCCAGTGTTGTCTTATAAATGCTCAGTTTCTGTTCTATTTTAGTATTTCTCAAAAATGCACTCTCCAATTTAAAAACAAACCAAAAACCCCTCCTTTTGGCCAGAGTTGTGCTGTGCAATTTTGTGAAATACTAAATTACTGTGACTTTAGGCATAAAGATAAGGGAGCTTTGGCAAGTTGTATTTCAGACCCAACTGAAATTTGATTTTACCAAAACTTGTCTGTTCTGCAGCCAGAGCTTGGCAGCACAGCAGTAACTGAGCCTGAATCCTCGTGTCTTGATCTGAAACCTAATTATTCACAACTCCTAAACTCTTTTACTTCCAGAGTTCGGAGGCTTTGGATCGGTTAGTGGGAAAATTGAAATTGAAATCAAGATAAACCACGAGGGAGAAGTGAACAGAGCCCGTTACATGCCCCAGAACCCCTGCATCATCGCCACCAAGACCCCTTCCAGCGATGTCCTGGTCTTTGATTACACCAAACACCCTTCCAAACCAGGTGGGTGCTGCTTTGTCCTCACATAACCAGCCAGCCCTTCCCGAAGGAAAACTTGGTGTGGTGACAAAGAGCTTAAAAAGTCCCTTGGCTTGCCTGTCATTCGGGGTTTTAGGGCCAAGTGGGTGTTTAGTGTGAGGTTATTTTGTCTGAAGCTTCCAAAGGTAGCCATGGAAAGATAAACCTTGTGCTTCTGCTGGTTGTTTTGTCACCTCACTGCGTGTGGTGGTGTTTGGGTGGGGTAGAAGGTGGGTTTTTTTGGAAGCTGGGATTTATTTGGTTGTGTAGCTGAGCTGTCCCCTTGATATCCTGTACAGATAGTAACCTATGAACCCATCAAGATTGTATAGAGCAAATAGTTTTGCCACTTGTGGGGAGGATCAGAAGTGCCTTTGTTAATTTAAAAGTGAGTTACAAATGATGAGGGAAAGAAAAACGTCACCCCAGCAGTTCAGGAGGAGTTTTTGGAGCAGTAACAGATGAGCTGCCCTTCCTCCATCCAGCTGGACCGAGTACCTCAGGCCAAAGCACAGAGAGGTGGCTCCTGGGCTGCTGAAAGTGGCACAGCAAAGTTCAGTAAAGCTTAAAGCAGGTGTTCCAGGATGTGCTGGAAGTGCCAGCAGGCACTGGAGTTCTTGCACTGCCTCCTTACAGATCCTTCTGGGGAGTGTAACCCCGACCTGCGTCTTCGTGGGCACCAGAAGGAGGGTTATGGGCTGTCCTGGAACCCCAACCTCAGTGGGCACTTGCTCAGTGCTTCTGATGATCATGTGAGTACTTGAACCAGAGCTGAGCTCCAACCTGCCCTTCCTGAGCCCTGGGAAGGCCGCAAATCTTCTGGGTTTTGGGGGGGCAGGTGAAGAGATCACCTGTCTGAGGAGGTAATTATTTGAATTTTCTGTCGTTTCCAAGACCATCTGCTTGTGGGACATCAGTGCTGTTCCAAAGGAAGGCAAAGTGGTGGATGCAAAGACCATCTTCACGGGCCACACAGCAGTGGTGGAAGATGTATCCTGGCACCTGCTCCACGAGTCCCTGTTTGGATCCGTTGCTGACGACCAGAAGCTCATGATGTGAGTGGGGGAACCTCTTCCCAGCCCAGCTGCTTAATCCCTTGGTGGAATGGGATGGAAACCTTTGTTTCAACTCCATGTTTTTTCATTCCCAGCTGGGACACTCGGTCAAACAACACCTCCAAACCCAGCCACTCCGTGGATGCTCACACAGCTGAAGTCAACTGCCTTTCCTTCAATCCTTACAGTGAGTTCATCCTGGCCACGGGATCAGCTGATAAGGTACACCCACCCTGACCTTGGCACGTCCCTGTCCTGTTCCTGATGTGTGAGTGTGGCTGTACATGTTGGTTACTTCAACAAAATGTGGTTTTGTATTTTTTTTTCGCAGACTGTTGCTCTGTGGGACTTGAGGAACCTAAAACTGAAGCTGCACTCCTTTGAATCACATAAAGATGAAATATTTCAGGTATAACAAAATGTCTTTCATGCACACAGACTTGGAAAAACAGTCTTTTCCACTCTAGTAAGGATACTTTTGCTTTAGAACTCAATCCTCTTCTCTCATCTGCTTATCATTTTCTGGGTGGTTGTTGTGGGGCTGCAGAGCTCCAGTGTGTCCAGGAAGCCAGAGTGGGAACAGGGTTAAAGCTCTGGGAGCTTTAACCACAGCAGAAGGATG